GCTTTTTAGAGCTCTTAAGTGCATTTTTTGTTTTTCTACAAATGATAAACAGAAGACCTTAAAATTCCAGGAAAATAAGGACTGTGTTTTGGTCAAGCTAAATAAACATTTATAGCTTTAGGATTGGTCCCTAGTTTGCAGAGTTAATTCTATCTTCTTGCCAACTTGGTACTCTTCTCTTTCTTCTACCACATAAAAGATAACAGAGGATATAGTTATCCATACAACTTGTATAAACTCACTAAACTTCTGAGTTTAGTGCACTTTTTTTTCCAACTATTTTTTGAAAAACAATGGTCAACAACATTTGAAGTTGTTTATGGAAGATCCAGGAAAAAATGGGAAAGATTCACATAAACTAATATCTTCAGAACTGAAATGATAGAATCGTGTAATGCAAAAAAAAAAGGATGCAAAGAAGTTCTTTCTTTTTTATTATATTGGAATTTAGTGGAACATTTGGGGCAGTGGTGGGTTTCTACTGGTTTGCCCTGGTTCCCGTGAACTGGTAGTGGAAGTGGCGGGAGGCTCCACCCACCCATCCGGACATCATCACGGACGGTCTGCACATGTGCAGAAGGTTCTGTGCATGTGCAGAAGCGCTGCGCGCACGCGGTCACAGTTGCGAATCAGTAGCAAAGGTAAGTGGAACCCACCACTGATTTGTGGCATATTGAGCCCTGTTTAAAACTTGTACACTGTAATCACCATTTTGTTGTGCATTCCAAAAAGAAAATTCTTACAAAACCTTAGACATGTAATTTTCTTTCTTAATGAACTGAAAAAAGGCTCACCCAGTAAATACAACTAAACTTATGGGTCTGTGAGTTAAGAATCTTCAAGTAGCAATTTGTTTAAAAAAGTAAACTCTTTAATCACTACAGTGATCAAAAAGATGAAGTTTGGTCCAACATTGAATCTATAGACAGCAAAAAAACTATAAATAAATAAGTAAGTAAGTAAGTAAGTAAGTAAGTATGTCCTGGGCCCTGTGACATTCAACATTTTATTAATCACTCAAAGAACCCCTTTTCTACTATCACCTGACCAGGACCTATTTCTAGTCATCCTCTTTATGCCATTGAAGAATACCAAGTAGGAAAAAGAATACCAAATAGCAAAAACACTCCAGTGGTTTACTTTGTGAAAATATTAACATACAGAACAACTTTCCAAAGTACTTAATTGTATTAATTTCAATGCACAGCAGACGGTCGTATTGCTTTCCCAATTCAAATCCTCTAGTGATCTTGCTCCAAAGTATACAATCCAATTACCATCCACATGTTCAGTCAAAGATTATTTACATCATTTTTTTATATTCAGATCAAACTGAAGGTTAATGTATTTCCAGCATGTATAATCCGCCTCCAGTTGAAACATGCAGAAAAATGTTTAATTTTATCTATCTATCTATCTATCTATCTATCTATCTATCTATCTATCTATCTATCTATCTACCTACCTACCTACCTACCTACCTACCTACCTACCTACCTACCTACCCACCCATCCACCCACCCACCTATCTGACTCTGGGCAGCTTACAAACATTAATTAAATGAGAAAGAAGTGTTCTAATTGTTTAGAACAAAATTCTGATAATTCATGGCTATTGCATTAAGACTATACAATAAGTAGGAGCAATCTACTGAGGATATTGCACCAGTCACAAGAAGTGAATTTACAAGGGGCATTAGGGTAGGGGGATCAATTTTTGCAATGCTTTGGCATTATAGCTGTAGAACCCCAGCGGATCTTGCTATTCTACTTTGTTCCCAATTCTGGTTTAATGTGCCAATTCTGAATAATGTTGGCATATCAGATTCTGTGATCTGTCAAGGTTAGATGCACAGATGCCAAGGAATTCTCCTACTGATAAATAAATGTCTCTGAACCCATCACAATGGGAGAAAGAGATACATGTGTTTGCTAACACCTTTCTCATATTTGTGCACTCTGCTTCTTCACATCTATGCTCCAAAGATTTCCAGCCTCACTTCCCTTAGTCTCCTATCTACACAACTTTCAATTTTCATTTCTGCAGCTCCATTGCATATATGGGGCTGGGAGTCCTGAGAAAAGAAGAAAGCATGCCAGAGAAACTCAAAATAAGACTGCCTTGATTTTGTGTAGCATAAGTTGGAACACAGAGAAATATGAACAGGCTTTCAAGATGCTATTATTTTATTTTACTATAATAATAATAATAAAAAACCTTCTGTGGAATCTCTGCTGCATCTGCTTGACCTGGCCTTTTTCACAGGGCATATACTTGCCAAAAGGCTCAGATTGTAGAATGAAATCTGAAAATGATTTAATCTCTTGCATATAGGTGGTATAGAGGTTGAGTTCAAAAGCCAATGGTCATCTCTTCCATAATTAGAATCACACAAAAATTGTAAATGGTATTTACAGAGCCATTAGTAAGTCACTTAATTTTGGTCAATGACCAGATAGGACCTGAGGTTTAACAGGGCCACCTCAGAAAGTGTTGCTGGAGTTAGTGCTTCAGCCTCTCTTGTTTTATGCTCAACCATCTAGAAATTTGCCTCATCTCTCTACATATGAAGATTACATCAGGAAGCAAAACAACACATATAAAGAAGGAAAGTCTTAAAACAACTGATTTTAGATTAGATGTGTCTAGAACTGGGAATATCCCTCTTCTTGTGGCTGACCGAATTTCTCTTTTCCATTTAGTATAGTCCTAAGGAATGTTTTGTGTGAGACTGCTTCATACCTTACCATGAGAACAATTGTGAGATCATACAACAGTTATCCAATTTTTCCAAGGTATTATTATTATGTTAGATAACATTCTTCTATTTTCCATTCCACATTCTTCATCACTAAATTTGACTTAATCAAACAGGAGAATGGATTTGTACATACTATTATGCACAAACATCTATGTACACTCATCTTTCTTCAGATTTGTAACTTTAGTCTCAATAAAAATAACAAGAGCAGTAAATGAATTAGCAGACGTGTAGGCAGCTAGTCTAGCCTACAAAACAAAATTAGGAATAAGCTAACAAAGTAGCTTCCAGGTATGGGATAACAGTCTTATTGCTATGAAAATAGCTATGCCTTCCATTGTACTTTTCTTGTTTCTCACTGCAAAAAAAGTTGTCATTTCCTTATTTTGAATAAACACAGATAACAGTTTACATTTCACCCAGAAACATTCTGGCACAATTGTACAATTGCAACATTCAACACAAATGCAGGCACCAAACAGATAAGTGTTAAAAAAAAAAAAAAAAAACTTCTGAAAGGATAGCCTAGATTTCAAATTTAGTCTTTGGCACTGAAAAGTTTTCTTAAAAATAGTCCAGTTTAATGGAGCATAATAACTGAAACCAAGAAAGTTCTTTATATTTTATGCACTCTACCTAAATACTAGCACGGGCATTTGAAATAGAAGGAATAGGTGGTTGAACACCAAGCATTACCGGAGAGAATACCAAAAGCAATTTGCATTTCAATTGTTCCTTTTGTATGACCGGCAAAGAAGTGGTTCTAAAGCATTTTGCAAAGTGATAAATGTCCAAGAGAAATTAGAGTATACCAGTTCAGCAGCCCTTCCCTCCTGCATCTGGACAGAGCACCCACTCAAGGCACAGCAAAGCCTATGAATGTGAATATCAATCTATCTCTACTGGCCATTAAACCTAACCTGATAGGAGTGAGGCCATTTCATTTCTCCGCCTCCACTCCAAGGGCAGCCAACTGGGACTTTGCAGAGTGCCCTTTCAAGTTGAAACTGAACAACTTGAAAGTAAACAACAACTGTACATTTTCCCCACCATAGCCTTGGGTCTCTGTTTTATACATTCCTCATTTTCTCATGAACACTATGCCTCCATCCCCTTGTTACATCACAATGAAACCCAAATCTTTGCCCTAACCTTTAAATCTCATACTTCCTTTTCCCTCCTCCTCCCTTTTCCTTTCTTTAGCAGAATCCCCCCCCCCAAAAAACCCCACTTCCTTTCCTGTTCCATTTAGGCAGTTTTTTGTGGGGAACTTTATTTATTTATTTATTATTTAAATTTTTATAACGCCCGAAGGACTCAGGGTGGTGCACAGCCAATACTAAAACACACATATACAAAAACTTAAAAGCAATTTAAAAATATATTAAATAATTTGGCCCCGATATTATTTTAAAAAAAAACACTAAAACAACCATTAAAATTCATGTTTAGGCCAGCCCAGCTTATTGGAGCAATAACGTCTTGAGGGCACGGCGAAAGGCGCGTAGGCCAGGGATCATCCGTATCTCCGGGGGCAATTCATTCCAGAGGGCAAGTGCCCCCACAGAGAAGGCTCTCCCCCTGGGTACTTGGATAGATACTTCTATGTTTCTTTATAAACCCAGTGTACACTTGGTGGAGCCTTAAGAACAAAGCAGGTTTATCAATGCCATCTCCTGCTCACAAATGGCCTTCCTTTCCTACAAATGCTAGCTAATCAGCATTCCTTGGTCTTTAAGAAAACCTTCTGTGTTCCTGCCTCCGCATGCACTTTACCCAAACTCTCACATACATAGCAAGAGCAGCTTCACAACTATCCTCCAGGGGTCACACTTGGGTTACGTATTATAGACCACAGGAACAGCGAAGCAGCCTGCTTCAGAACCATTTATTCACTTCCTTCTTCATTAAGATTCAAATGGAATAAGCAGTGTAGAAATTGAACAGATACAGAAAATGTGCTCCTGTAGTCAGTAAACATTTATTCACCGAGCAAAGATCTCTTCTTCTCTAGCCCCTCTCACATTGTCTCCGTTTTCTCTATCCTTACTGCTTGCTGTTTTAATGCATAATTAAGAAGGTCAGAATTAATGAAGCAGTGTGGAGTAAAGTTCATGGAATCCCCAGGTGCTATTTATTCTATTAGATCTCAGGCGTGAATGTCAGATTGGCAGTGTTAAAGGCAGAGGCAGTGAGGTTGGCAGCATCCCAGAAGCAAAACTATCAAGGGAGACTTACCTTCAGTGTCAAGTCATTCCTGAGCTCCTTGCCTGCAAAAATCACACGTAACTGGTCAGCTGGAACTCCCTGTCGCTTAGCAACCGCCTCCTTCAGCTGGAAGATGCTGGTATCTGAATCAACCTCCACTGGGAAACCATGGCTGGAGTTGAACCTAACAAACACTGACCAAGAACAAGACATTGTTTTTTAGGGGGGGGAATGCTGAGTGTTTTGAAATCTGATGCATCTGGGAATGACAAAAAGAGACGGCAATTTCTGAAACATGGACAACAGCACGATGGTATTGTAAAACTTTGTTTTATCATTTTAGAAGGAAGAAGTGACATATTACAGTTTTATGATTTGGAAAGGCAATTCCAAATAAGAATCCCTAACACGTTATTGTCTTAACTAAATTAAACATGCTTTATGGTCCAAAGAGGATCTTAAATTACATTTCCTTGAGGAATGAATGAACAGGCAGTTTTTAATCTGCAATCTGAGGACTAATAATAACTAATTTCCTCTTATTCTAAATGCTCTCAGGAGACCAGAGTACATATACTGTAATGGAAATGATGTGTACATCTCTGCTCACATGCATACATGCACATACACACAGAGTTTTAATCTCACTGAAGTGGGCTGCTAGAATATATTGGAAAGAAAACTTTAAAAAATACAGAAATGTCAGTTCATACACACTGGCCTCTCAGAGATCCAACTGTCTAGAAAATAATAATGGAGAGAAAATTATATGCTGCCGTAGCATGAAAGTATTTTCTGGTCTTTCTTAGAATTCTTAAAACAACTACAGAAAGTAACTCCTGTTAATATAGTTGTGGGCTGTTAAAAACAATTGTCGAACACATTGCAATAGTACTTGGTCAAGATGTACATAAAAATATTTCACATGTTTACAAAGGAGGTTTAGGAAGTTTTTCCCACAATTAAGCAATAATAACTTACCTAAAATGTAGATTGCTAGGAATTTTGGCAGCATATAACAATTCTACTTGGTGTGTTTGTGTGCATGTGACTTTGAGTCCATGTTGACTCCTGGCAACTACCTGTAAAGTTCTTGTGGTTTTCTTTACAAGATTTCACATTACAAGATTACAAGATTTGAATCCTCCCTAGGGCTGAGAGAGAGGAATTGGCTCAAGGAATTGGCAGCTGGCTTTATGCCTAATGCAGGGCTAGAAATTATGGTCTCCCTGTTTTTAGACCAGTGCCTTAACTACCACACCAGACTAGCTGTCTTCTACATTATTTAGCTGTTATTTAAGGATTGACAGAGGATATATGTTGAATTGAAAGTGCTTCTAAAACTAAAGCTCTCAATCAATATACTAGGATGTCTTCAAGGGAGGGGTTTGTGGATGGCATAAGAATGGCTCTGAAGGACAGAAGAAGAGCTGGTATTATGGCAATGGTGAGGGAAGTGATGCTGGAGTCTGAACCAATATAATATTTTGAGGAAAAATCTCAAACAAGCCCTTTCCTAATTCAGACAAAGATAGAGGGAGAGAGGGGAAAGCACATTCAGACTTTCATGATTCTGTTAGTATAGCTCAGTGATGGTTAACCTTTTCTGGACTGAGTGCCCAAAACATGCACGCCTGACCGCCTAAAATGCAATGCGTGCCCCCCCCATACATGCACCCCACACATGCCTACATGCACCCCGCCCTCCACGCATGCCCGCATGCCCCCCCATATGCAACCTCCCCCCGCATGCATGCGTGACCCCCGTGTGCCCTGCCCCACACACATGCACACGTGGCCTCCACGCGCGTGCCCCACTCTCCCACACATGTGCGGCAGAGACTTGAAGGCCAGTTGGCCAGGGGAGGTGCACATGCATGCACGGCAGAGCTGAACTGATGCGATGGCTTGCGTGCCATCAGAGAGGGTGCTGCACGCCAACTCTGGCATGTGTGCCATATGTTCACTATCACGGCTATAGCTGTTACAATAAAAATACAGGTAGTTCTCCTTTACTGAGGACCAGGACCACCTCAGACAGTGACTATTTGCAGTTACTATGACACAATGAAGAAGTAACTTTGCCATCAGTTCCTATATTTATGACAGGTCTAGAAAGCAAAGGAAAGTTGAAAAAAGATCATAAACACACTCATGGTTTCACTTAGAAATTGTTTCATTTAACAACCGAGTTGCTGGTCCCAACTGTGGTCAGTAAACGATGGTTAGCTGTAATCCCGACCTACATTTTTCTGGTCTCTTAGTCTGGTCTAACTTTTAGACCTGGCAGGGTTAAAGGTAGTAATCATACACTACCCAAAGCCCCTTTGTGAAGGAGATGAGTGGCTAGGAAATTTGATAGCGATAGATAGATAGATAGATAGATAGATAGATAGATAGATAGATAGATAGATAGTAGAAAGAAATAGAAAGATAAACAGATAATCTCAGTATAATCAACCCTTCTCCTCTTTAATGTATGTTGAAAGGATGGGCCTTTTATTGTGCAGTTGTAACTGCCATATTTTTTGACATCCTACCCCAGATACCCCGTCAATATTAAAAAAAACTAATATAAATCTTAAATAATAGAACCAAATAAGATAGAGATTGCTCATAATTTCTACCCCTCTAAATTATCATAAGGCATTAGGTCAGATAAATGAGAGAATGCACCCTAGATGCTCTCAGGGAAAAAGTCTCCAGAGGTAGGACTCCTCTTTTCACAAAACAACTGCCATGGTGACTATGGGCAGAAGTAATAAAACACAGTTATATCTGGTGAGATTGCTTTGTGCTACCCCTTCCACCTCCCCTCTACTCTTTACCCTTCCAACTTATTTTTAGACTAGGCACCAGAGTCTCATACACATTTTAAAACAAACTATGGCCCTATTTTTGGAAACCAAAGACGGTAACCGACTTTGCTTTGCAGTATGCCCACTCGCCTTTTAAATTTTTTTAATAACTAAATAAAGAAAGAAAGAATAAATGAATGAATGAATGAATAAATAAATAAATACTTTTTTTTAGAAAAAAGTAAAAATGGTACCTGGTGGGATTTGTGGGTTCCTGCTTGCCTAGCCCTGATATAAGCAATTGAACACAGCCGTTTCTTATAGGTCAGCTGCAACTGACATTGTTGCTAAAGGTTAGTAAGAAATGTTTTCTCCTTGACTTCAGTTCAAAGACAGCTCCTAGAGCATAGCTGAAGATTTTCCACATTTCAAAGAAAGCTGTCCCTTGTGAATTTTCATAGTTCGACCTGCCACGGTCTTCCCTGTGGCAATAATTAAAAAAAAGTGTACCCACATCTTTATCTGTTATAAGCCTCAGACTGAAAGAACATGAATCCCTTAAGGAGCAAATTCTTAAGAAGTGATTTAGATGCTAAGTCCACCGCTCCATAAAACAGCCTGAAGCCCTTTTTGCCATGTTACATTATTTGACATGACCTGCTTATTGAAAACAGTATACAAATATTGCTACACAATGTGTTATACAGAGAGCCACACATTCAAAGGAAAAAAAATACCCTTCACATTTAAAATCATCACATGCTGGTAGTTCTTGCTTAACAATCAACCCATTTAGTTGTAGTTCATAGTTACTACGGCACCGACAAAACGGACTTATGACCGGTCCTTGAAGTTGTGGCCCTTGCAGTATCCTCTACAGTCATGCGATCGTGATTCAGATACTTGGAAACTGTTATGCATTTATTAATTCAGAGCGCCCCTGGATCACATAATTGTCAATTGTGACCTTCCCCACTGGCTTCCCCAAAGTCAGTGGGGAAGCCAGCATGAGGTCTCAAGTTACAATCATATAATATCTTAAATGACCATGCCTGATTTGCTTAACAACCAAAATCAACCAGAGCCAAAACTGCTGACATAAGTCAGTTGTGATGTTATTATTTCTGCTTTATGACCATATAGCTCAAAGATCAAAGTGTGAGACCCATTTATGCTTGTTAAATGAGGACTACCTGTACTTGAAATATGGCCCTCATGTACTGATTATCTGTATTTTTAAAAGCACCACATTACACTTCTGTAAAGCTATTACCTTGTTTAGAAAATAAATACACTGATACAGAAATTATAAATCCTCAAAGTGTTAGTTGGCCTCATTCAATAACATCAAAGGCTCTCAGGCTGAAAAAAGGAACTGATACTATAGGATTTTATAATTAATGTCAGAGATCCATATTTATTAACACCATTAAAATAGAAAATAAATTATAATCATGCATTCTGAAATGCCTATTAAAATAAACATGATATGTGTTATGCTATATGATCAACAATAAAAAGGTCAACATCATAACAGCTGCAGAAAAACTACATTCTGCCTTCAATTATTTGCTACATCCCTGTTAGGGTATCTGATCTCTCCATACTGTTTTGAGAAGCGGTAAAATTGTGTCCTTTAAGTTTTAATATAAAATGAGAGTGGAGATCGTTGGGCATGCAGTACAGATGTTGGGTATAAAGTTTGATGCCTGGCTTCACTCAGACTTATGCTGTAATTAGAAGGCACATAGGGAAAGATTCAAGGACAAAAGCTCTTAGCATAAAGAGAACCAGCAACTGAAAACTGAAAGATATAACAGAACCAAGGTTCAAATCTTATCTCTTTCTCTCACTAACAAATTGAGAATATTTTATTTAGGAATAGGAAAGGCAGTTGATCCCTATGCATTTAGAGTTTTGTCTCAAGCCCTTTAGCCATCTAAAACAACCAACAATTCTTAGCATGGGGATGCCCATTATATTAATATATCACAACCACACAACATCAAGGTTACCAGGCACTGAACCAGTTATCTGTCAATTTGGAAAGGAGGGAGGGAAAGTAATTATCTGTAAACCCTTGAGAATACATAAAACTCCCTCAGACCTCTGCACTACAACAGGCAGTCAAGGGTTTGTCTGGCTACATTCCTGCCCATGTTTAAAGTTCCAATCTAGAAACTCCATGTCTATCAAGTCAAGTCAAAGTTGAGCTAATGATTAATTGTTGGGAGAGTGATGATTTATTACAGAGTGCTTGGAAACCTCTGCTGAGTTTTTTAAACAAAGGTTACACAATTATTTGTAAGGGGTATTTTAATTAGGATTCTTGCATTGAAGAAATGATTGGACTTGATTGCCTCTCTTCTAACTTTAATAATTAAAATAATTTCCTTACTTGCACCCAACTGCCGCATGAACACACCCCAGCAATCTCTTTTTTTCTGCTCAGTACTCTTGAAGTTCTCTTCATGTTCACCTCTCATCTGCAGATTAAAGTTATCCTTGGCCTTACTACAGTTAAGTAGAGAACAAATGTGACATTTTTGTGTTGTATGCAATCTGGCACATTTCATTGACGGTTCATTCCATGGCACAATCAGATGATCTCTGATCATCATGAGAAAGGAAATGACCTGTTGCAGGGGGTCAGTGGCTAAAGCGGCCATTTTATAAGGAATTTGAGGGTTGATACTTTGGGGAGCAGGGTTGTTTTGCTTGGAGAGGAGGGAGTTGTTTTGCTTTTACTGGTTTAGCAAATTGTGCAAATCCAAGTCATGGACACTACTTCCCCCAGCCAGAAAATAGACTTATTGAGTAATAACGTACATTGTGTAAAGAAAGCCAGTAATGGATAAATCAACAGCACTGAAAGCCAAACTATGAGCAACAAAGGACAATGTCTTGAAATAAATCTACTATCAATCATATCCTATATAATTTATATAGCTATAAATTAAAAATAAAGCAAAAAAATCATATCCAAAGTGAGGAGTGTGGGAAAACTCGAGAGTATCAATTCAGTCCCAACATTTTCCTTTCCACTTATTCCCCAAGCTCCTTTTTCCACAACCAGACTTGGATGAATGCATTGAATTTAGCTGAAGAAAATAACTGGAGGGTTTTTCTACAAGTAGTCGAGGAAGGCAAATTTAGATTATTATTTTTTTAGAAAAAGAGCAAGAACCCAAGAAGTAAAGTGGCTCCTTGTAACTTTAGAGGAATATGAGCCCTAAGATTAGAAAGTCACAGGGCCCTGGAAAGCAGTTGTTCACATGATGGAAGGAGAACTAGGAAACCTTTCCCTTCAATCAATTTTGTAACATAATGTACATAATGTAACATAATTGTGTCACAAAGAGAATTATGCAATTGTGCAAACTGGGTTCCCAGTGTGATTTCAAAATTCTGTAATGTGCATAGTAGAAGGGAAGAGGTCACAGCTACATTTTCACCAAAGATTGAATAAAGATTCAGTAAAGATTATGTCCCTTTTAGAAACTGTCTGAATCAAGCATCTTAAGCATGGAAAGCATACAGTAGTTTACCTGTACTGTGGCAGTCATGTCAAATGGAGTGCATGCACTATTTTATCTAATTTAATCTGTTCACTTTCCTGAAACAAGCAGCAGTCAAATTTCTGCTACCTAAGCACTCAACTGTTCACTTTAATCAAATCTTTATTATAATCACTGGACAATCCAGAAATGTCTGCAGAAAAGAAATTGTCAAAAATCCAGAGAAAACTCAGAGTTTGAATAGCTCGTCACTAATTTGATTCCTAAAGGGCCATTTAGCAGACGCAACAAGCTGCAACATTTGGCCATCCTAGGAGTAACAGCTGTATCTACGTCTGCCAATAAAAAGGAAGTATAGACAGTACTATATCAGATCTACCTCATCCATCAATCAAGAATCAATTGCACTAATATTATGGCACAAATAAAATGATAAATGAGTAACAAAATACGAATCAGTCTCATCCTCCAGCAAGCCCCAAGGATGAAACTGTATCATGAAATCTACCCTCCAAGAATTCTAATGGTAAAACATTAAGAACAGCTAGTGCAAAGACCATATATTGCCTCAAAGTGCTTAGTTGAGTTACTTTGTAGTTAGGTTGGGAAAAACTCAAAATTTCTCCAGGGTAAATTGCACTTGGTAGCTTAGCCAAATCCTGTGGATGCTCACAATCTAAAGTTCTTGATCTAGTCTGTTTGCCTTTCTCAAACCCCATAGGCAATTAAAAGAGAATCCAAGTAAAGCCAATTTGGACTTTACAGTTCCATGTCAATTAGACTGAAAATTGTCAATCATAGTAAGTGATGCTAAGCCCACTTGGAAAAAATTTAATTAAGCTAATAATTAATCATAAAAGCCATAGGCCTCAACCTTAATCATTCCTGCTTTTCGTTGTAATGCTACACTAGGTACACATAAGATTACAAAGAAGACAAGAAAGAAGAAAACTGATTGAATCTTTTCCAATTTGGTAAAACTGCAGTAAAAGCACACCCGAGAGCCATAAAGTACTGCATTTGAGCTAAAGCTCCAGCCGCAAAGACTTTGATGGCAACTGCCATAAATATCTGCCTCTACATAGAAAAAAAAATGATGATGATAATCAAGATGATGATGAATATGATGATGGCACTTCTTAATGGCAAACTGTTATGCCCTTAGACACAATAGTCCCAAAAAGCACTCCCTGTCTAGAGCATTGCTAGTTAATTGCCATTTATGTTTTAAAGATCTTTTAGCAAACACCAACACTTTTGGTGTTGCTATACAGTTGTCCTTAACTTACAAACGGTTGCTTAGTGACTGTTCAACATTTCAGTAAGTACATAAGTAACTCCAGGGTTACTTACAGTATGTACTTATGTACTTACTACAATTCCAAAGTTCCAATGGTTGTTACACACATGGTTACGTGACTAGATTTCAGGTGCTCAATAATCGGTCCACATTTTATGTAATTATTATTTATTAAATTTATATGCCACTTATCTCATTGTCAGATGATATTTACGTCTGTTTATGTCCTGCAGTCACATAACCTTGTTTTATGATGTTTTTGTCCCAAACCAGCATTCCAGTTTTCAACAAAACCGGTTCTCTTAACAATCAACACATTTGCTTAATGACTGCCACAAAAAATAATCATACTTTACAACTGTCATGCCTTACAACCATAAAGGACAGGCTTCAATACAGTCGTAAGTCGAGAACTACCTGTAACAGATGGCCAGAAATACCCGCCTAGAATAAGAAGTTAAAGCTCAGGATGCTATGGTAATTTAGGACAAATTATTGCAGCATCAGCATAAAGTGGGATAGTAGTATGTCTAGTAGTATGTCTAATATTTTACCTAAGAAAATAGACGTCTAGGTTGTCAAGACTTTACTAAGGAGTTACTATAAAGGTTAAATAGTTAAATAAGGAATTAAGATGCATTTCTCTTGTAGTCCTCTTGTGGTCTAATTTACATCGGACAGATCCTAAGGCTTGCAATTAACCCTAAACAAAATATTTTATAGCTGGAAGTGAGCAAAGGTAATTATGTGTGAAAGACTTTGGGGAAAGATGGAAAGAGATGCTGCCTCTTTCCATGCTAACAATCGGATAAGAGAGGCAGGAGCCCACCCCGCTGACTTAATGGTCAGAGAAAGAAACTTCAGAAGGACCCACCCTAATGGATCAAGCTGTTAAAATTGTGGTGGGAAATTTGTGCCTTCAGATTTACAACAATCTGTTAATGTAGCTGTACAATACAGTAGAATTAGGTCATCTATCCCTGTTTCCTGTCTGGTTTACCTAGTAGGACTGACAGGAACTCTGTCCCTGAGGTGAAATCTCAGCATAAACCTTGTCACCTTGGGAGGATGTATATTTTCTCTTCCAAACTCCATGGGTAACTCTTTCTCTCATGAGTTTAAAACTAAATCGTTCCATCAATATGCTATAGACTATTACTAAAACAGGCAATGAAACGAAATTACAATGTGCATTATTTATCCATGGATCAGAAGATTAAGCCACCACAATCTTTTATGCCTTGTAAATAAGAGGCACTGACAAATGAACAACATTGTAATTATTTTTAAAAATCTGTTAATCTTTCACACACTTCAGATTAGTACAACTCTACTTCAAATTACTCACCACCGAATAATTCCTCTCTTTAATTGTTTTCATTACTACAGGACTACTCATTTTTTGGAGGAACTATTTTTTAATGATTTAATAGCTTTACCATACATACACAATATTGGTATTGCATAAATTCACTTTATTTATTAATTTAGAAATTAATACTGTGTGTGTGTGTGTGTGTGTGTGTGTGTGTGTAGAAATATACAATATATAGTATATAGTGTATACTATATACAAGCATTCCATACATATATATGCTGAGCATTCCATTCAAAAATAGTATTTTTAAAAAATCTCATAAACTTCATAATCAATTAAAAAGGATCAAATGCAAGGAAAAAATAAATGTGATTTTTAATTTATTTCAGGGCTTTGAATTGAGTAAGACTGATTCAAACAACCAGGATTTAGACATCTCTGAAGAATAGGCAATGGCGAGAAGAGCTTTTAAATATTTTAGTCATGGATAAAATGCTTTTGTTTTGCAAGTGTCAATATCTTAGAACCAAGGAATGAGGAAATATTAAAAAGGCAGTAGGGTTTCTCACCCAATTACATCAATAATATCCCCATGCTTCTAACTTCATAGTGGAATGGGATATGAAGCGACAGGCAACAGTGCGAAAAAACTTATTTTATGTTATTTTCTGGGCATATAGTAGTCCACTTCAGTTGCAAATGATTCCGAGGAATATAAATCTTAACCTCTGCAAATTAGTTTAAAAGCACTGAAATAAAAAAGAAATCAATAATAATGTGAAACCATGGGATAAACATGGGAACGTTTATCCACATAACCAATAATCAAAAGACTATCCACTCCTTTTGGGAAGACAATCACAGCTTTCTAGTCCTCTTTGTTCCGATTTTCTCAGAATTCCCACTGCAATTCTTCCACATACCATATCCACATACCATATCATATCACGGGTGTCATGGAGGGAAGAGATATAAAAAAAAAAGAATGGCAGCTATAATCTTTTTTTTTTTTTTTACTTCCACCAGTCAAAGGCCATGTCCCGTACTTAATCATCAGGTCTATGGATCTTGATCAAGGATGGAAAACCAATGAATTGTAGCAGAGAAATAAATGAATATGCTGTGTATTTCGCCTTTATTGAGCACAATGACTGGAAACCAATTGTGACGATTTCCTAATGACAATAATAAACTACATCAAATCAAAAGAAGACAAATGATTATAAAGATGATTTCAACACAACTTTCTCAATCTAAACTATGAGTGTCAAACTAGTGGCATCATGTTGCTGTCCTGTGACATTTTGTGATGTTTTTTTCTCTTTGCGAAGCTGGGGTGGGCATCTGTCCCGTGGGCCGCCAGTTTGACACTCAATTCCTTTGAGAAGGAAAAGCAATGGTGAGATGGCTAACAATAGTAGAAGACTTGTTTTGCTCCCTGTAATACTGCAAGATGTTACATACTGGAATTTATAGTTCCATCTGTCTCTAAATACAACTCAACATACTTGAACTCTATAAGTTCAAATTCATAAAAACGTCACATATACTTTTCTACAGATGATGATGATGATGATGATTTTTTCCTGCAAGTAGAATTTTCTCCTATAAATAAACATGATTCCATTTTCCAAACAAAGAGAAATGAAGGGGGTGTAAGCGGATCTAACAGACAGAAAAGACTGGGAGATTTCCATTGTGATGGGCATATTTTAGTAAGTACATCTTGAATAACATTAAATTCTTACTGCAATTTAGTCATTCAAAAGGAACTTGCTTAACAATAAAAAGTAAGGCATGAGAATATATAAAGGATTTTATGGTTAGGTTTATGGTTAGTTTATGAGCTTTGTGGGTAAGAAATGTACAGCTTTTGCCTTCCAAAACTTGTAAATATTTGACTTCTTAACTAAATAAAAGTAATTAGAGCTATGAAACCATAATAGAATTTTTTGAAAAATCTTTGTTGTTCATAAAGTTCAGAACTGTTTTGGTCCATTAACTAGTCCTATCTCCCTCTATGTACCTATTTTCCATTCCTTCAACAATTAAGCTGTAATATGGAAATTATTTGATACAATTTTCAACCAGACAAGCCTAAGAAAATAGTGTTCCAGCTGGTATAGAATTAAATTAAATTAAGAAGCTGTCTAAGACAGTGGGTATGATTTTTTGGAGTTCGTAGGTTAATTTGCTAAGGGACAATTGCCTGAATAGTTAACCACAATGTAGCCAATGTAGCATGGCATGAATTAAAAACCTTTATTTATTCATCAGAGGGGCTGTGATTCAATGGAGGACATGATGATTGATGACAATTTATACTCTACCTTGCATTCAGGAGCACCTAGTAATATATGTAATATTTTCTCCTTCTATTTTTCACCAAGAGGAACTACTCTGTGAGGTAGTTTGGGCTGAGGCAGAGTAACTAGCCCCTGGTCACCAAGAGAACATCCTGGTTGAATTTGGAACAAAACCTGGATTTCCCTCATCCTAGCCCACACCTTAATTACTACATTACACTGCCTCTCCATCAGGTCTTTTCTTCAGCAGGATCCTGTACTATATCAATCTCATATTGATCTTGCAAGAACAGATGTTGAGGAGGGTACAAAGAAAATGCACTTGGCCAGGGGTGAAGTTTGAAACTGTTGCTAATAATCTATTATAATGATCAAATACCATTTGTCATAAGCACAAAACAACAGAGAGAAACATGTATAACTGAATAACCCAAGGAGTCATACACATATACCTCACACACATATGTGCACATTTTTTGAACCTGCCTTCAAGACAGGCTAGATTTTTTTCAATTATTACAAGTAGTTCTTCATCTATAAGTAGTTGCTTAGCGACTGTTGGAAGTTATGACAGACCGCCCCTCCCTGAAAAGTACTTACAATGTAGTTTCCAAATTCCAACAGATGCCCCTCCCAGTCACGTGGGGTGCATTTGAGGTACCTGACAACCAGACAATGCATTTATGGCCATTTACAGGGTCCTGCAGTCACATGACTATTTTTGCCAGGAACTTTTTGCTGAACAATGGGTTTGCTTAACCACTTTTTGGCATTAACTTAATGACCGCTCTATTCACTTTACGTTTGCTGTGTTCATCGTATGTCCCCCCCCGTCCCCCATATTCACTGAATGACTGCTACAAAAATATCATAAAACTGGATTGATCATTGGTTATACCTCAAGTTATGACTGTCATGACGTACAAGGGAAGTTCCAGGCTCCATTACTGTTGTAAGTCAAGGCCTATGACTAGTGAAGTAGAAACTATAAAGACACAAAGACAGGCATCAAGATCCAAAATACCCAAATCTGGCTCAAATTCCATCCACAGAATAATAGCTAGAAGAGAACTTAGAAGTTGTTTAGTTTAACTGCCTGCTCACGAGAACATCTGCGAATCACTGAATGTCAACGCAGAATGACTGAAAGTCAATACAGAATCATTGCAGTTCTATAGCCGAGTGAATTCAATCCATGCATGTACAACCTGGGCAATCTGCTAGCCCACACATGTTGATCCTGAAAATGACAGTAGCAGAAAATGTGGTTTCATGTCCTAATTTAACTCGTCCAGCCATTCCTTGTGCTATTAGTCCTAAAAAAAAGCCACACCCTACTGAGTTCTGAATCAAGATTACTTTGCATATATGAGTTGTCAGGGTGATTGACAGCTGTTTAGCGGCTGCATTTAAAATGTATTCAGAAGGGAGAATGCATGAACACAACACCTCAAGGCTGCTGGAATTCATTACAGGAAACAACTTGATTTGATTGATTTAAACCATGTGAAATGTAGATGCGTCCCATATGTAAAGGGGACAGAGAAAAACATGTCACTTTCTTCAAAACATTTCTACATGAGGGATCCATGAGGGAACTGGAAATTATGTCACATCACATGTCTTATTTACTAATAAGACATAGATTGGCACCAGCCACATATTCTCATAAATCTAGTTAGGATCATATTTACTTGAAAAGTTCCACTGCTGCTAGTTAGTATTTATGGCTTGGGAATTATCATAATTAACTTCTTCCCATCAAAACAGAGTGGACTGTATTGTAATGTAGAGTAGAGTAGAGTAATGTATTTTACTGTGGGGAGCTCTGAAAAGTAGAGAAAATTCGGAGCAGAGCATGAAAACTTCAGGGCTAAGATCATTTCAGGAGTAAGTTGAATAATTAACTCTAGAGCAGATAGTGGTTGCAGCATTTGATTGCAAATGGAACAACTCCAAAGTGATTCATACAAATTACCTCTTCGGATCTTGTTCTGTTGAATCCCTGTATGTAGCACTTATAACGTGGCAGAAAGATATAAGAAGTTACTTCATTGGAAACAAGGATAAAAACATCTTCTGTTGGATCACATTATAAAAGGCTTGGGACCAATTCATTTGGCATTCATGTATAAGTTGCAGTATAGTCAAGGCTATGGTTTTCCCAGTTGCAATGTATGGCTATGAAAATTGGACCATAAGAAAGGCTGAGCACCAAAGAATTGAGGCCTTTGAACTATGGTGCCGGAGAAGACTCCTGCGAGTCCCTTGGACTGCAAGGTGATCAAATCAGTTAGTCCTAGAGGAGATCAACCCTGACTGCTCTTTAGAAGGCCAGATCCTGAAAATGAAACTCAAAATACTTTGGCCATCTAATGAGAAGGAAGGACTCACTGGAGAAGAACCTAATGCTAGGAAAGATTGAGGGCAAAAGAAAAAGGGGACGACAGAGAACAACGTGGCTGGATGGAGTCACTGAAGCAGTAGGCGTGAGCTTAAATGGACTCCAGAGGATGGTAGAGGACAGGAAGGCCTGGAGAAACGTTGTCCGTGGGTCACGATGGGTCGGACATGACTTCACAACCAACAACAACAACAAATAAGTTGCAGTAAGTAGTTTGTAAAAAGGAGTCCTGAGTTCTTACAGAGGGTGCCATATAAGAATATAAATATGATCCCCCATTTTTTCAAGCTAAATACAAGTACTTGTAAATAATCAACCAGGTACACAGGTCCTTCAAGGGATTTATATAACTCCAGAAAACACTGAAGTCAACTGAAGCCAGCATGTGTTTTTGCATAGCGTCAGCAAGAGAAGGGAAAAAATGAAATATCATTCCATTATTAATCATCAATATAATTGTCCATAAAGTATAAAGTCAAAAACATCATTTTAATTTATTTATTAATTACAGTGATGGTTTTGGCCTCCTGCTTTATGGATGATTTAATATATTATTAAAGTAGCATATGGTTATGCCAGCAACAGTAAAATCCCACATAGTATATCTCAATTTTTTAAATTTTTTTTAAGATTTATCATACAGAAATTCTGCATTACAAAAATAGGAAAGGAAGTCTGATGAGCAGAAAATTCTTGTTGCATTTTTTCTGGTAAATTTAAAACGATTCTTGATTCTTAAATTGGAAAGTTTACATACTTAGCAGAAGACTGAATCACTCAACCATCCAGAATATATCAGCCACAATTTACCTATCTACTGATGGCATCGTACAGTGATGGCTAACCTTTTTGCTGTCGTGTGCCAAAAATGGGGGGAGCGCGGGGGATTTGCGGGCGGGTGTGCCCAAACCCATAATTCAATGCACCCCGCACATGCGTGCATGACCCCCCCGCTCCCCCAGCTTTTGGCAAGTGATGGAACAGTGGGCCTGTTTTTCACCCTTCCCAGGCTCCAGAGGCTTTCTAGGAGCCTGGGGAGGGCAAAAACTGCCTTTCCAACCCCCCCGGAGGCCCTGCGGAGGCTGGAAATAGCCCGTTTCCCGACGTCTGGTGGACCCGGAAGGGCTGAAAATCAGATGGCCGGCGCACGCATGCGTGTTGGAGTTCAGCAAGGGCAACGCTTGTTGCTTGAGTAGATACGGCTCCACGTGCCACCTGGGGCACGCGTACCATAGGTTCGCCATCACGGCATAGTACATAACATTTTAGAAAGCAAAACATAGATATTCATCACCTACCTTTGTAGATTTAAGCTTAGATTGATTGGAAAGGTAATGATAAACAAGAGTTACTGCAAGAAGATGCCATTCCATTTGCTTAGTCTTTTGTAAGAATAGAATAGAATAGAATAGAATAG